CAGACCGCAGGGTGAGCGCCCCCTGCTGGCCCCACTAACACCTCTCCCAGCAGCAGCCTCAGTTGATCCCAGGAGTCTCCCCTCCAGGTCCTGGCCAGGCTCACCCTGCTGGGCTCCAGTGGGGCTGCCGGCTGGGAGCTGCAGGGTGATGTGGCTGCTGGTAAGGAAGGTAATCTGTTCCCTACCAGCTCAATCCATTTCAATGCGGCTTCGCAGGCAGCTGTTTAAAGAAATCTGTTTGCTCCTGGGTTTTTTATCAGCTTTTTGAAATGAATGCAATTTAGTTCCAATCAAGCTGAGCTGCAGAGCTCTCCCGCCTGTTAAATTAAGAGCCCGCGCACGACGCACTTTCAGGCGCTGGTAAACACACACACACACTCTCTCTCTCTCTGCAGGAAGTGCATCGCCCACAAGGTGCCCACTGGAGCAGAGTGGCCTTGTGTGTCGCACAGGGCCTGACGCAGACGCAGAGACGGAGGACGTACCATGGGGCACGCGCTGAACCCGGTCCCTTCCGAAATGTCAAGAACACACAAACTGCAGCGAGACTGGTGAGATTTTTTGTTGTCAAAATTGCTCTTTCCTTTGGAGGGAACATGCTGGTGATTTATAGACGGGGTTTTTGCATTATTATATATAAAAAAAAACCTCAATTCCTCGCCTGATTCCTGCTCTGGCCTCGTGTTCAGCTCCCTCTCCTCTGGTCTGAGGGTTTTCATGTTCCCCTAACTAACGCTGGGTCAGGGAGAGCCCCCCTGGCTCCCAGAGAAATGAACGGGCTCCCGGCTTCTCTGTGAAAGACTCTGGTGGCACCTCTAGGGCAGGGGGTCCCCAGGCTGGGTCTTGAGATTAATGGGGTTTGTAAGGCAAGTTCAGTCAGACTCGGCTGTCGGTGACTCGCGATCCCTCCTGACGTCCCTTCCTCCCCTGAACCCCAAGACATACTGGGCGCGATCCCCTTCCCTCCCTCGCGTCCGTCTTTTTCTAAGTCTCTTTGAAGCGCCGGCATCTGAAGAGATGAGGGAAGTTGCTTAATTGGTCCAATTAAGCCAGAAAAGTTGCTTAATTAGTCCAATTAAGCCAGAAAGAGCTTGCTTCGCTCCTTAAGTGAGGTGCTGGAACGACAAGCCAGCGACCGAAGCAGAAGCAGCCCCCCAGGACCAGAACTGGATAACCCTCGTCTGCACAGACGCACTTGCAATGAGATGAGAAGCTCAGTTGATCCTGCCTGCTCTGTTGCTGTTGGCGCGATGCACACACTGGCTGTGGCAGTGGGAGTCTGACAGCCCGGCCTCGGTACTGTAGGTCCCAGTTCAAGCGCTGGCGCCGAGAGATCACCGCGTGCATGTGGCCCAGGTCATGACTGATCTGAGAGACCCCACGTGTGTGACACGGGACACAAGCGATGCCACTTTTTCCTTTTTTTTTTTTGGTCTATTCCCCGGGTCCGGATCTATGGATTCAACAGGGATCAGAGGCAGGTGTCGGAAACAGCGTTGCTAGGAGACCGTTGGTTTCGAACGAGCCGAGAGCCGAAGACCCGCGTCGAGCTCGGGGAAGAGGCAGGAGCTGGAACGTCCTGGCGCAGAGTGTCGAACTCGCCGGGGGGGTTGATCCCGCGTCCCCCCCTGCTCCGATACCTTCCCGGAGGTTACCGTCCAGGATCAGCTGGTTTGGAATCTGCAGATTCCAGTTTTGCTGTCCTCCGCAAGGGTGCAGAGTGAGGAGGTGAGCCCTCCAGACTCGGCAGCCAACCCCCTGCCTGTTGTGAGAAATGGGGCCGTTTCTTACACCCCTTTCATGCATTTATTGGGGTGTGGGGGGGGGAGAACCCCCACTTTTTAATAGATTTTAATAGAGAGACCATTAATTTAATAATTGTTGTAGCCACTAAGTCTTGTGAACTGGTTTGCGGGTTGTGGGCTGACTCGTCCAAGTGTATGTCCTGAGTGGCTCTAGGGTGTGTTTTTGTAGTTGACGATTTCGCTACCCGTTTCTCTCGCAGCTCGCTTCCCACGGGTACTGGAAGACCGGCGTCGGTTTAAACACGTACGTCCTGGAGAAGGTTGCGTGGCTCCAAAATGTTGACCGAGTTGAATTAATTATACTGCAGCTTCCGGCTCTTTTCTCCCCACTGTTAACACCAGAAAACACCCCCATAAAAAGACCCCCACACCCCTCTTTTGCGGATGACCTTGTGCTTCCATGTGCCACGTTGGTCCTGCGCTCTTCCCTGCAGCCCTGGGAATGAGGCGCGGTCTGGGAACGCTCGGACTCTGTTTGCAGGTTCCTACAGGGAAAACGACAACTGCAGCTGAAAGGCAGCCAGCGCATATTAAATCAAGAGTGATGGACTGCCCAGCAGGAGTAAGCGAGTGGAACTGGAGAAAAGCAGATCTGATTGATCTGTCATTACTCTAGGCTCTCTTAGGGCTTCTTGGTGGGGGGAGCGGCGCTCGGCTCATCAAACTAATTGGGCAGGCTCCGGTCAGAGAATTCGGCTCGGCTCTCCCTGCGCCTGTGCTGGGGGGGATGAGTGCCCTTTGCACTTCCATTCGATTTCCCCGCAGGGCGTCAGACCCACCACCACTCAATTAACGTAAGGAGACTCTTAATTAGCTAATCAATCCTGCTGCTGAAACCCGCTTCGGTAATTAAGTCTCGGCGCTGCCAGAGCTCTGTTACGAGACTCAACTTCTTCTCTTTTCGCCCGGGAGCCGGGAGGGATACAAGATGAGCACCTGGTAGAGGAAAAACAAGTAGGTCCAGCCAGTGGTGGGGAGTGTTGGAATACTGGCCAGTGCCAACACCGCGAGCTGACGCAGCCCCCTCGTCGTCATCGCGCATGTGTTCGCACTGGCCAGTATTGCAACACGGGCTGCAAGGGAACAGGCGAAGGTTCATTCCACACAAAAAGAAAACAGACCCAACCTTGCGTCTCTTTTCCTTTCAGTCTGGAAGAAAGTTTTCCCTGTTCCTTTCCTGTGCAAGGAATTGGCATGGAGCCACAGGCTTGGAACTGGTTTGCAGCCTTAATGTGGGATTTAGATGGAATCGGATTGTACCCGTAAATTGTAAATGGCCAGTAGACTTGTCTTGGAACAGAAGACTCTTGCCCACAGGGGAGCCCCAGAATAAGGAACGCTCCCCTGACGCTTGTCCCTGTCTGATGAGCCCTGTGAATGCATTCCCAGCTGCAGTCCGTTCTCAGGTCTCCATTGCACTTCAGTTTATTACAACCAGAAACACTTGATTGTTCAGCGATTACAGGCTGGGCAGACACGTACAGCAGAAGGTACATTGGCTACTGCACGATCTGTTCCCCAGGCGCCCGGCCGCGAGCACGGCACAGATTCGCCACCGTCGCGCAGGCCAGCACAAGAGAGGTGTTCCCCGAAGGCCGGCCCGCGCACAAGAAGCGAAAAATCACACGTCTGTGCTGGGAACAGGAGAACAAAACAATATACACACAGTCACTCTTACATTACACCTTGTACATGACCACACACATATGCAAGAAATAGATTTCTGTAATGGTCTGAGAGTGTGAGCCAAGCCTTAAAGGGGACTGTCTGGCAGCTTTAAGGCCTCTGTAGAGGCACCTCCTGAGAAGCTTGCGTGAGCAGAGGGGTAAAAGCGTTCTTTTTCAATCCAGGTTGGACAGTGGGGGTTCGGAACAATCCGAAAGTTGGCGAAATCTTTTTAAGGCATTTTTCTTAAATGATGAGAAGAAGTGGAAAGGTCCAGGGGTCCACAGCTGGATGTTTGTGGTTGGGGAGAAGCCTTTGAGCCAGGTAGCCACCTGCCCCCCACCCCCACACTGTGTAGATCTCCTTTAATAAGCGTCAGAAACTTGCTTTCTAAAACTGTTGATCCGGTACGGGGCCACGAGCGAAACGGAGAGGAGGAGAGAGAGAAGTGTGTGAGACCATGGTTCCGATGTATTTATAATCGAACAAGTAATAGGTTTATTCCATGCTGAAAAAAAGAAGAAAGAGAACACAACGTTTCGGCCGTGGAGCCTTCTTCAGGTGTGAGGGCTTTATAATCGAATGCCCACTTGGGGGGGAAGAGTCAAGCTTGGGATCGTGGGTATGTGTCGCGCTGTCCGCCTGCGCTCATTGAGCACGGCGAGTTGTTTCAATGGGGATATTCTCCGTGGAATCGGTCGAAGAGGACGCTGACTGTTGTGGAGCAGGGGCTTGCACAGCTCAGTTCCAGGAGGTTGGAAAACCCGCAGCACCAGTCCCTCCACCTGCCTGGATGACTGGACGACTACATTGGCTCAGGTGTTGCTGTGCGTGGGAACAGAATATTTTACAGTTCCGAAGTTCATTTTACTCGTGGTGGAGCACATTTTCCGCAGAAAACAAGCTTCTGTCTGAAATCCCTCGGATGGGATCCCCTTCTCTCACGGGCACTTGGAGACCTCAATCAGCTTGGGCAGCCCATCTGGAGGAGCTGGGGGACACCCGGGCAGGAGGAGGGACCCCAGAGAAATGCAGGGGAAACTCCTGCACGGAAGAGGCGCCCCTGACTGTAGTCGAACCCAGGAAACCAGAGCCGTGAGGCTGCAGCACTGGCCGGCTTCCCAGCATGCAGCCCCACGCAGCTGGTTTTCTCTTCAGGCAGTAATTGGTTCAGCCGGTTCGTTAGGTGAGTAACTGATTCAATGAAGTAATGAACCGGAGGCGAGCGGACCTGTATTGAGGAGGCAGCTCTGTAATAACCCAGTCCCCTTCGCAGGCTCTTTCCAACTCTTTCCTCGTGTGCCCTATTATTGGCAGGACCTGAGCCCCGCAAGCTTCTGCCATTTTCAAAACCTCGCCGCGGAGTCGTGCCCTCCTCTGGGTTTTCCGTCTGCACTGGTGTAATCCTTTTCCCCCCGGAGGATTCCTGCTTCGGTGCTCCCCTCGTTGCATCGTCGATGAACGCGCATACCGCGGGACCACGGGCCGCAGCTCCTCCCTCCCTCGACCGCGTCTTTTAGACGTGGCCTACGCTGTGCGGATGTCAAAATGGAGGTGGCACTTGCAGTAGTAACGGTTGGAGAAAACTTCGTTCGGGGTCTACGAGAAAGCACAGGTGGATTTTAGACACCAGCTGACCGCCGCTGGGCTGCGTCGGGCAGTGTCCTGGTGCCGCGGAGGCTGACGCAGGAATCCCGCGGGGTACTTCATGGAGGATTTAGTTGGAAAAGAGGTCGGATCGGGGTGGGGATCCAACCTCTGCTCGCTGCAGGCTGTACCGCGGCGGGAATCCTGGCCCCAGGTCTCTGTCACGGCTGCCTAAGGGTCACAGGTAGCTGATCTCCAGCAAGGTGTTCTTCTCCCCAGGCTCCTCGGGTAAGGGCTTCATGCTGCCGTTGGTGGCGCCGTTGAGCAGGCAGGGGGCCGGGGCCGGCGCCGTGCCCGAGTCCGGCGTCTTCCCGTTGGGCTCGGCGGCTTTCCTGGGGTTCCGGGAGGTTGGGGAGACGGTGGACGTCCCCGACCTCTGCCCTTTGGGCAGGAAGAGGGCCCGGGCCGCCTCGGGCTGCCCGTTGCCATTCTGAGCAATGTGGCAGATCTCGGTCATCTCGGTGGCCTCCCCGTCCTCCTCCTCCTCCTCCGCCTCGTCGTCGTCGTCATCGTCCTCCTCCTCCTCCTCGGTCCCCCTCCCCCTCCTCCTCCTCAAGACGTCCCTGGGCTCCAGCGCCCGCTGCCTCCTCCTCCTCCTCCTCTCCTCTTCCTCCTCCTCTTGCTGCCCCTGCCGCCGCGGTGGCGGCGGCTGCTGTTGCTGCCCCAGCTGCCCCGGCTGCCCCAGCTGCCCCGGCTGCAGCCGGTGGGCCGCCAGCTGCTCCTGGCTCTCGACTTTCCGGGAGGAGCGGCACAGGGTCTTGCGGAAGCCCCTCTTGAAGTTGTCCGACAGGAAGCCGTAGACGATGGGGTTGGCGCAGCTGTTGGCGTAGGAGAGGACCACCACGAAGAAGTAGACGCCCTTGGGCTCCTCGGGCAAGGCCACCACCAGGTTGATGATGTTCAGGGCGTAGAAGGGCAGCCAGCAGAAGACGAAGACGGCCACCACGATGACCACCATGCGGGTCACCTTGCGCTCGGACTTCTTGCGCTTGGTGGAGGTGGCCCGCACCTTCTTGCCCGAGCTGCGCACCTTCACCACGATCAGCAGGTAGCACAGGCAGATGACCAGCAGGGGCCCGAAGAAGCCCAGGGTGGAGGTGTAGATGATGAAGGCGGCCCTCCACACCTCCGCCGGCTGGGGCCAGTCGATGTTGCAGATGCCGCCGCCCCGGGGCACGTCGGCGAAGATCACGACGGGCAGGACCACGACGAAGGAGACGGCCCACACGGTCCCGTTGACGGCCTTGGCCACCTGGGGCTTCCGCCACCTGCAGGAGCGGATGGGGTGCACCACGGCCAGGTAGCGGTCGATGCTCATCACCGTCAGGCAGAAGATGCTGGTGAACTGGTTGATGCCGTCCACGGTCATCACCAGCCGGCACATGAAGGAGCCGAAGGGCCAGAAGGAGAGGGCGTTCTGCACGGCCAGGAAGGGCAGCCCCAGCATGAAGAGCTCGTCGGCGATGGCCAGGTTCAGGATGTAGATGTTGGTCACCGACTCGGTCTTGGAGTAGCGCAGGACGATGTGGATGACCAGCGTGTTGCCCCCCAGCCCGATGATGCACACCGTGAAGTAGATGAGGGGGATCAGCACCCCGGCCACGCCCGGCCCCGCCCCCTCCCCCTCCCCCTCCCCTGTGCTGTTGGGGAGGCTCCCGTTCTGGAAGAGCTCGCCCAGGGCCAGGCCGGAGAGGAGGGCGTCGCCCGTGGGTGGGGGCAAGAGGGAGGGCGGGACGCTGGCCCGGGCCTCCGACAGGGACGGGGCCATCCAGGTGGCCTGTGGTGGTCCAGGTAAGCTCTCCATCGAACCGCGGCGCAGGAGTAGCCTCTCTCAGTAGCGGCCCATCTCGGTGGCTCCTGTTCTGCAGAGACACAAGCAGGAAAGACTTGGGTGAAGCCATACTCCCACCACACACACCCCAATCCAGCTCATCCAGAAATCTGCTCGTCCTGTTGTCCAGACTGTCAAGCTCAGCTCACGGTCTGACGTCTTTTGCATCAAAGGTCTGCTACATAATCGGTCTAATTATTTCATTAACTACACTGTTCTTAAAATGTCTTGCCAGACTCGGAGGTGTTCGTATTGGTAACTGTACTGTGACAGAAGTGCATTTTTCCCCACAATCAATTGAAACTGTGATTATAACTTGAGGTCTCTTTGAGACAGTGATTAAGTTCATTGATTGCTCAGGTTAGCCTACAACCCAGAAGACACCAGACACTCCAGGACGTGAGTCTGACACCACGGGGGATGTTGTTCCTCTGGCTCCGGTCCCTCGGTTCCTGTGTGGTTTCAGTCCTTCCTCTCCCCTGCTGCACTGCCAGCCCTGCCCTCCTCTCCCTCCCCCTCCTCCTCCTCTCTCTGTTCTCCTCCAGCCTGTCGGCCCCCTGCACGAGTCAGAGGTCTTCAGGGCCAGCCTACCTTTCCGCCCACTTAATTATTATTTATTATTATTGCAATCTTCAATGATCCAGGAGGAAAAACGCGCTTGAGGGGGGAAAAGAAAGGTGTGGATCAAGCATCTCGTTAAACCAATTAAGTATCATTCAATTAAGTAACGAGCTTTTCCACAATGCACCCCCCGCCCCTCCCCTCACCAGTCAACTCAGACCCAGGATTGGGAACCCCTCCCAAAAGACAATAATCTACAAGGAAGAAAAGGCGTGGGGAGGGAGTAAACGTTTATCAATTCCGTTCTGCAGAGCAGAGGAGCTGGGAGGAAGGGAGAGGAAGAGCGAGTGTCTGTCTGGGCGCTTGCCTGGAGCCTGTTGACACCCCAGCCAAGTCAAACAGAGCCGTTCCTGGGCCAATACTGCAGCCTTAATGGCCCCTAATTGACATCTTCTCCGTAACCTAGGAGAGGAGCCCTGCTCCGGGAACGCAGTGCAGAGGAGAGGGCTTCGGAGGGGACTGCCTGGGTTTTTGTGTTCCGAGTGGCCGCGGTTCAGACCACGCGCGCGGAGAGAGCCTCCTCTCTTTCAGCTCCCCCTCGCGCCGGCAGATCCATCGTCCCGAGGCGCTAGAGCAGACCACCCTGCTGCTGCTGCCCGCTTCACGGCGGGGGTGACCTCGCTCAGGCACAGCTCTGCTGCCCCCGCCGGCTGTGTGCTCTGGAGACGGGTTGCCAAGCCGGGACCGAGCCCGAGGCGTGTTGCTAATGCTCCAGACCAGCGGCCAGCGACCTCCTAATGAAGTGCTTCGTTTCCTCTAAATCTAATTCACTCGGCGCGTCGTCCCTCAGGCTCAGGTCCCCCCGACGAATTCGCGTCTGGCAGTTGGCAGATTTCTCCACTAACCGCCCAAACAGTGCGCGCATACCATCCGAGTCTTTCTAAAGCCAGCCTCACAGGCTGCAGCAGGCTTGTGTTACAGACCTTCGCTCTGGCAGGAATGGCGGGTGTGGCGTTCCCCAGTTCCCCAGAGCTGGCTGGGTGGGGGGCCGAGCCCAGCCACAATCCCAGCAACGTCAAACTGGAAGACCATAGGCCAGGTCCTGTTCTGGATGAGGTTTGTTATTTTTATCACCACTACTTATTAGAATTTTATTATTATTATTATTATTAATGAATAACAGATGTCATAATCATCTATTGTTTTATAGAGCAGCTTTTCAAATTGCCTGGGGTTAAAAATCCTAGGGCACGATTCCCGGTTCATTTGCCTGAACGCGTGAAAAAAGCGCGGCTCATTACACAGAAAAGCCCTCTGCCGCTGTTTGCGGAGCATGACCAGTGTTCCGTACAAGTGGCGGAAGAATTTAATTTGGGCCAGCGGATCTGAACGCCCATTAGCACCAGCTAATACCAGCTGAAGCCAGTCTATCATTTCTCCCAACAGCACTCTGCCTGACAATCTGCCTCGCGGGTGCTTTCCCTGTGTCAGGCCTGCTGCCTGGTGACTCCCTGGATGGCTCAACTGGACACAGCTTAAACTGGACAAAAGGTCTGGAAGCATACAGCAGATACAAGGACCATTCCTTAGGTAGGGCAGTATGATTCAACCCTGCTTCATCCGGTTATATAGGGAAATGATCATCCTCATTGAGAATTAATAGTATCGTACTGAGAACTAGGAATGGTGGCATTATGGACCAGCTGAGTGGACTATTGATTCAAGTCAGTAAAGACGTGCCCAGGATCCCAGATCAGAGAGGACTGGAGATCCAGACACACACCTGCAGGGATTTCATTGCTTAGTTCCATTAAAGCCTTAATTAAACTAAGAATTAAGTCGTTGGACTGGAATATCTGAATGCTTCCCTTTCTGCTCAGGCGTTGGGGAGTTTACGAGACGGATGGAACGCACCAGTTAACGAGCCGAGACCGGCTGTGCAGTCAGTGAAGGGCTCAGCTCAGCTGTGTGGCCGAGAGCTCCGCTGGAGCAGAAACAGGCCACTGTGGGTGGGTTTGTGTGGGTGGGGGTGCCCAGGGCCCAGGGCCCAAGATTGGGGACCCCTGTGTTCCAGGGTGCTCCAGTGCTCCAGAGCCTTAGGCCAGACCCACACAGAAATCAGTTGCATCCTATAGAAGCCTCTGAGGCCCAGCGCCCCTGGGGTCGGCGTGCTCAGATCTTGCAGCAGGTATTTTTAACTTGCCCTTCTGCAGCCTGGAGGGGGCTGGGGGGCAGGGTGACAGGAGAGCCCCAGACTGCGACCGCTGCAGCAGCCTGGTGATCAGCACAGCCCGGCTAAGAGAAGCAACAATAATGGACAAACTAGAGCAGCATCTGTGTGGCAGTGGGTCCAGGTTTAAAATCAGGCTCAAGAACACAGGCCACCTGGCTCGCCTTCATTTCTTTATGCTGTATTTCAAGAGCGATGCTTTTTTTCCCCCATGAGCACTCAATAGTACTTTCTCAGCCTCTACAGCCTGGAGATCACAGCCAGGGTCCCTACAGCCTGGAGATCACAGCCAGGGTCCCAGTCCAGGATGAG